CATAAGCCAGTGTGTCATAAGAGGTATAAAATCGGGAAGCAAGGGGCTAGAAACCCTTTTTGCATAAATTACTTAATGTCAAAAGTGTTTGTGTTATGCTCCACATAATCTTCGTGGTACTTGTGTGTAATATTGATTTTTATATGACATATTAAAGATTACTGTAGAAGTAGTGAAGTTAGTCTTAAAGTAATATTAAATACATGCATTACTTTTCTTGCAGCCATATTTTATGCTCTATGGAGAAGTGTTTGCTGATGACATTGATCCTGACTGTGGTGGTAAGGACCAGATCCCGTGTCATTATGGTCGATGGATCACTCCAACAGTTATGTCCATGTACCTGTTAGTTGCCAACATTCTTCTCATCAACCTCTTAATTGCTGTATTTAACAACATTTTCATGTCGGTCAACTCCATATCTCGACAAGTGTGGATGTTCCAGAGATTTCAGGTGAGTGACTTGAGTTGTGATCTTTTATATATGCTTTCTAATGCACCCTTGTCCAATCCCATTATTAGATTTTTGCTTTACCATATAATTTTAAAGTGTAAATTTTTATTCACAAAATTTGTGTGATGTGTAATAATGTTGTGGAATAGGATAATGACATTTGTAAAGCTTTTTTATGCAAGAATAACATTTTGAGAAATGGGGAAAAAAGTTATGGCTTACTGCATGAGGAATGTTGGCCTCTTACCTTCCTTCCATCTGTCTGTCCTTCCCTCCCTCCCTCCCTCCCTCCTATCCTTCCATCCTTCTCTCTCATCCTTTGTTCCCTCCTCAAAAAAGCTTGGCTAACACTGTGATAATGTGACCCAAAATGGTTCAGAAATGCAGTTGAGATGGCAGCTTAGTGGAGAGGAAAGGTTGGGGAGAGGATAAGGGAAGGGGCATCTCCTGGATGTGATAACTATTTGTGAAACACTATAGACATTGGAGATGGGCTGCATAACACAAGATCTGAACATGTTCATACTCTTTACTGAAGTTTTCAGTCTTTTAGAAAATTTTGTCCCTGCTACCTAAATGTATTTATATATACTGCACATTAAATATTATACTTATTAAGTATGCAACAAAGTGTCATACTAAATAAGCACAATGTTTAATGTACAGTATATATAAATACATCTAGGTAGCAGGTTGGTAAACAGCAACCACCCAGGGAGGTACTACCGTCCTGCCAAGTGAGTGTGAAACTGAAACCTGTAATTGTTTTACATGATGGTAGGATTGATGGTGTCTTTTTTTCCTGTCTCATAAACACTTACACTTAGGTCACACTACACATGCATCTACACACATATATTTATACACCCATCTGGGTTTTCTTCTATTTTCTTAATAGTTCTTTTTCTTATTTATTTCCATTACCTCCATGGGGAAGTGGAATAGAATTCTTCCTCCGTATGTCATGCGTGTCATAAGAGGCGACTGAAATGTCAGGAGCAAGGGGCTAGTAACCCCTTCTCCTGTATTTATTACTAAATGTAAAAAGAAGAAAAACTTTCATTTTTTTTGGGGGGGGGGGAGTCACCCTGCCTCGGTGGGAGATGGCAGGTGTGTTACAAAAAAAAATACAATGTTCAACAAGTTTGCATGGTTAAGATCAATTTATTTGCATTACAAACTATACCTGAGGTAGAAATTATAAGATGGAAGTAGTTGTACACATTCAAGGTGGCTTTTTCTGTAAGTTTAATATGGCTTTTAGGGGGAAGTATAGTTTGTTATTAGAAAGGAAAGGAATTATGTACAGTATTCTGTAATGATAATGCTTTTTTCCCACCGGATCATCACGTCTGCGTTACTGACTCACAAAATCATAATAACACGATTGCGAACAAACTTGGAATGGGTGGGGACTGAACACACTGGTCTGGGGTTTTATGACTCACTTGTCGTGGGTTCAAGCCCCACCTATTCTGTGGTTTACTTCTGCATTATTAGAGGTTTATTCTCATGTTTTTGCTACAGGTTGTCATGGAGTTTGAAGGCAAGCCTGTATTTCCTCCCCTCTCATCATCCTCTCACACATTCATCGAATCATAAAGTATTGCATCAGAAGATGGAAAGGAAAACCTTTATTGTATGACAATGGTTTGAAAATATTCCTTGATGGGGAGAGCCTAGAGCGCCTTCATGACTTCGAAGAAGAATGTATGGATGGTTATAACAGAGACAAAGAACAAAAGGAACAGATGAGCACAGAGGTTCGTATTCTATTTGTTTATGGTGTTTTTATGAGTTTTTTAGTGCAAAATGATGTTTGGTTCATGTTACAGGAGGTTGCCCTGGAAGAAGAGGTCCTTCAGGGTAGTATTTTGAGAATCACTCGGGTTATCATAACCATGGACGGTATGGTGAGTGTTATCCTGTAGTGTATAGCATAGTATCTACTCCTTAGGTTGCCTGTCACTAACTTCAGAGGGTAGTTGATAACATAAAGTAGGCTGCTTTTAATGGCTCATGGTTCTCCACATGAAAACAGGGCCTCATTTACCTATCAGGCTTGACAGCTGCCCCCTTTTGTGTACCCATGGAGGGGTCTTACTGGGAGGCAGGTATGCTTTGGAAGACTTTGATCATCTGGCTTGAGTTCTGGTGGAATATTTTTGCAGATTGGACTGTAGTATCGGCTACCTTTTGCAAGATGGTGATAGAGTGAGTAAATGATGAAATTTTTCTCTTTATCGGTCACCCTGTATTACAACCTAGGATTTCAAATGCCTGTTATCCCAGGTGTAATGGGACAAATAAACACAGTGAAAAAGTTAGACATATTATCCTTCACCTTTATAACAGCAATATGTACACTATTACAGGGGATAAATATAGTGCACTCCACGTAAGCAAGGCAGAAAAGAAGCCACAGATAGCAGACCGGCTTCAACCACTCTAGGTGGGAATGACAAGGGCAGCAGATAGCGAATCCACATAACCTCTGCGTTTGGGTCAATCCACCTCTTATGGCAAACCGGTCACTATTGAACGATGGGGCCCCCCACAACCTTAGCAACCTGGTCGCTGGTGGGGGAATAGCCGTAAATGAGGTGTGTCCCATGCCCGAATAAAGGTTCACTCTTTGCAGCCACACCCCCACCCCCCCGAGAAGGCTCGGATTAGGCTGCCACCCCCCAGTGGTAACCGTGCCGCCATGGCACAAAATAATGGGACCGCCTATCCTCTCCACCATCCAACTCTTAGATAGAGCCCCAGCTTTCCTAGTGCCTGAAACCCAAAACCCCCTAAACTCAGAGTGAGACAGCAGTCAGATAAGCCAACATAGGTCCAAGATACAAGCGGACGGTAGCCCGTATCCCCTCACTAAAAAAAACCCCCAATCAGGGATAAAAAAAAGAGCTTAAAAAGGGGGTTACCACAAATACATCCTAACCTAAAATAAAATTTTAAACTAGACTCTTGACAAAGAGTCTGCCAACAATTTTTCTTTGCCGGCAATTTTAACGAATTTTGAAGTTATGGGGCTGCAGCCTGAGCGTCCAACGCATAAGCCTTGTGTTTGATTCTTCATGGCTTGGAGATAGACTAACGGGTTGTGATCACTGTAGACTGTGACCACCTGCGATGTCTGGCCCCCCTAAACATCGAAATGCTCCAAAGCCATTACCAGCGCGAGGTTCTTTTTCAATGGTAGAGTAAGCTCCTGATGTGGCTGGAACTTGGCTGAAAAGTATGCGATTGGCTGCAGCTCCTTTTCCCGATTTGTAAATAGTACCGCCAACCCCAGACTCACAAGCATCAACCTGTAATGAAAAAGGTTTGGAGAAGTCTGGAGACAAGAGAATGGGTGCAGAGCACAATAATCTTTTTGCTTTATTAAAAGCAGTGTTACAATCTGACGTCCAATTAAAGGGAATTTTAAATGACGGTAAGAGAGGTAAGAGGGGCTACAATATCTGAGAAATTCTTACAGAATCTTCTGAAAAAATCCTATCATGCCTAGGAAAACGTTGAAGAGATTTCCTATCATGAGGACCTGGATAATCTTTAATCGAAAGAACTTTAGCAAGTTTAGGTGCAACATACCACTACCTACTTCATGGCCTAGAAAAGTGATAGTGGCCTGGCCAAAGGAAGATTTAGACAAATTAATGATAATGGAATTCTTAAAGGTCTCAAACAGAGCTTTAAGTCTAAGTAGGTGTTGATCCCAAGTATCAGACACCACAACAATATCATCTAGGTATGCTCCCCGTCCCTTCAAGCCCTTTTAAATAGCCTATGGACGAGTTTCTGGAATGAAGGGGGAATTTTTCATTCCGAAGGGGTAACTGTATACTGATAATGACCTCCTGGAATCACGAAGGCAGAGATTTCCTTCGCCTTATCGTCAAAGGTACCTGATTAGAACCTTTAAGGAGATCTAATTTGGACACAAAAGTAGCCTTACCCACAAAGTCAATTTACGTCATCCAGACGAGGAAGAGGGTAAGCATCTGTAATTGTGACCTCGTTCACTTTACGGTAGTCTGTGCACATACGAAACCCTCCATCAGCCTTTTTTACTAGGATGCACGGTGAAGCCCATGGACTAGATGACTCCTCCACTAAACCATGTTCTAACAAGAAGTCTACTTCCTGCTGAAGTAGCCTTTGCTTTTCAGGATTAGCTCGTAGGGGGAGATTTAAATTGGTTAGATTTCCCACATCTACATCATGGTAACCTAACGTACATTTTTGGGCACATCCGAAAAAAATTAGGATATGACTGTAGAAGCTCAGTTAAATTGGTTGCTTTATTTCAGATAATCCAGCCATTAAAGGCTAGGATCCTTGAGGAGACAGAATTTGAAAGTTTAGTATTAATTCAGAGATAGAGTGCAAAGAGTCAGAGTCGTCCTCAGAGTAGAGGACAGAGTCATTACTGGGACTTTATCTGGTGTATGAAAGGCCTTGATTTGATTTATGTGGTAAGTTTTTGTTTTTGAGGTCTTATCAATGGGAGCAAACCACAAAATTTTAAATCAGATAATCTACTTACTATCTGCATAGGTCCCGTAAATCTAGCTTTCAAGGTGTGGCCAGGTATAGGTTCCTGCACCAACACCTTGTCTCCTGGATGGAAGGAGCGGAATTTGTGCACTTTTGTCATACCCTGTTTCATCTTACTTTGAGCTGTCTTTAGGTTACCGTGGCCAACTCACGTGCCACCTGAAACCTTGAAGACGGGTTGTTAGAGTGCTGAGCTTACGTCTTCTCCCATCCATCCTTCTTTGAGCACCCGAAGAGGACCTCGTACATTGTGCCCAAAGATCGCTCAAACGGACTATCCCCTGTAACTCTTGACCGTCTCTCGTACTGAGAATAGCAAAAACGGTAGAGATTCATCCCAATCTGTCGGAAAGTGCATGCAAAAACTTCTCATCATTGTTTTTAATGTTTGGGGGAATCTTCCAAAGGGGCGCCTTGGACTGAGGGTGATAGGCAGTGGATAAGTTGTGAATTATCCCTAACCAAAGTTAATACTTCCCTAAAGGGTTTTGGGCAGTGAAGTTAGTACCTTGTCACTTTGTATAGTTTTAGGAATGCCAAAACAAGAAATGAATTTTGTTAAAGCTTTGAGAATAGCTTTAGTATTTATACTACGCATTGGGACGCTTCAGGATATCTGGTTACTTTATCCATAATTGTAAATAAATACTGATTTCCAGACTTTGACTTAGGTAGTGGACCTACACAATCTATAATTTTAAAACTGCAAAAGGTTCTCCATCAGCAGGTATGGGTTGGAGAGGTGCAGGGTTTAATAGAATGCCAGGTTTTTCCCAAATTGCTGACATTCTCGGCAACACCTAAAAATGATTCTTCACATCTTTCTTTATTTTGGCCAATAAAATTCTTTTGTGATTCTATACAAGGGTTTTTGTAATTCCTTTAAATGACCTCCTGATTGAGTATTATGAGCTATTTTAATATCTGAGGTCTATACTTGGTTGGAACCACTAACCTGTCGTATAATTGCCGGGCCCTCTGTCTCCTTACCAGTCTCAGTGCATACCAAATAATCATTTTTAACTTCATACTTTACTGGATGACCCAAAGAGGATTTACCCATGGCTGCCTCAAAAGGAATTTTTAACGAAGGGTCCTTACGTTTGTTCCTCCCGGGAAAGGGCAGTCCCTCGGGGATGGAAACAGAGACATCTGGGATCCTGCAACCTGGAATAGGAAGGGTTGATCGGGGTCTGTTCACTTGATTTACGAGACTCCGGCCGGTGTGTCTCATAAACAACGTGGCTATTCCGAGATCGGAGTCGTCCAAGGATAGGTCAACATTCCCCCAGACAACCCTTGGGATGTTGCCCGAGTTATGGCCAACACTGGAGAAGCATTAATCATTTATAGGTTCAGGACACGAAGTAACAGTAGTAATGTTATTACCCAGTAATAACATGGCATTTTTCATGGGAAATCCTTTTGAGATACCTACATCAAGTACCCATGTAATATTTGCACTGTACAAAATTTTAAAGCAAGGAACTGAATATATAGCCCTCCGAAGCTTCCAATAAAACTGAGGAAAATTTAAGAAGTATTCTCTGAAAGGGGTAATATTCCTTCTCTGACAAGTGAGCAATATGCTCCAGTATCTCTAAAGGTATTTACTTTAGTTGGTTCTGAGTTTTCCTGAAGGGAAATAAGACTTTCGCAATAATAAGGGCCATACCTTTTTCTACTTCTCTAGGGACATGTTACTAGGGATATTGAGATTTTCCCGATGGGTTGAGGTTTTTGGGGCAGTTGGAACTGAAAGACCTACTTTATTACACCTGAAGCAGACGACAGGCTTGCCCTTTACTCCCTGATGACGTTGCAAGTGGTGTCGTTTTTGGCTGTGCCTCTCTGGATATTGTTTGTCGAGATGCTCCATAAGTAGTTTGCCTCTCCGCAGGGGGACCATATGTTGAGAAGCGTGGCCCCACCAGGTGACTTGGTTGGATGTCGTAGACCTCTCCCCCGGCTGGCACTTCATTTTCCAATGTTGTCGATCTCTGCTCACGCCAGACTGTTGAAAAGAGAGACGGGACCGCTCGGACAAGGAGCGGTTCGTTTCGAAGGTATCAGCCAACCTGGGCCCCCTCCAATGCAGTGGTTAAGTCACGATCCTGCAGAAAGACACGAACCCTGGTCCCCCAGACTCCCCAGGTTATCAATCAGAAAAGCTGCACCAGCTCCTCAAATTTAGAGACACCACTCGCTTTAATACCAGCCCGGTAAAGCTTTGGTTTGCTGTCTCACAAAGTCCACCAGGGATTGACCAAGCTGCCGCCTGTTCAATTGAAGGTCTTACGATAATTTAGCTGGGAACATGTATATGCTCCCAACACTGGGTCTTCACTACTTGATAATCAGAGAATTCAGCGTCATTAATACCGACGTAAATTCCTGTGCCTACCCAATAATGCTGTATGAACCCAACCCCTGCCCAGTGCTGTTCCGGCCACCTCAAGGCTCGAGCCTGATTTTCGAAGCTTTCGAAAAATTGCTCTGGTTCCCGGGCCCCATTTGAAGCGGGGAACAAGCTGTACTGCTTTTTGTAAACTGAAATCGTTTTCAGAATGCAAAACTGCCTCCTTTCTCTTTCCCATCAAATTCTCCCTTGCGAATGCTCTCTGTTCCCTAGTTTGCTCAAGATTTATTTTTGCCAGCTCAAGTGCCAACGACGCTGATTCACCCTGAGAAAAACCCAGCTGCACTATACTGACCATTTTGCTCCGTAGGTGATCATCTTCCTCCTCGAGAACATAGTAGTTTTTTCCCCAGCTCCCGTAAAGGGAGGAGTTTGATGTGCCATCTCTTTTTCAATAAGTATGTCAGCAATAAGTGAACGCAGTTTGCGCAGCTGTGAGAGTGCGTTTATAGGGAATGCCAAAGGAACGAGCAATTTGCCAACCCAAAGCTGTAGGGACAATTTAGGTAGGTTATGCAAAGTATATGCCGACACCAGGCTCTGACTGTCTAGGGTCATAAGTTATTCGCTATGCACAGTACGAATACCCCAACGTAACACGTTAATTTGCAGAACACGCTAGCTATGCACAGTCGATTGCAGAATACCATACAAGCAAAGCCGACGCCCCACAAGATTGACCGTAGCGAAGCGAGCACACTGAACAAGCTAGTAGCGAGCTGTTGAAAAGATCACACAATAGCAAGGCTGATCATAAGCGACTGACACGCAAAATTTTTAAAGCGAAGCGAAACAGCAAGCTACACAATGTTCCTGCTACAAGCTTCACCCCAAGCTCAACCGTTTTCTCTAAGTCCACTCTCGGACAGGCTACCCATATTACAACCTAGATTTTTAAATGGCCTGTTATCCCAGGTGTAATGGGAGCAAATAAACACAGTAGAAAAAGTTTAGACTTATAATTAAACCTTCACCAATTATAACAGCAATATGTACACTATGTACGTGAAAAAATATAGTGCACTCCAAAGGTAAGCAAGGCAGAAATAGAAGCCACAAGATAGCAGACCGTGCTTCAACCAGCTCTAGAGTGGGAATGACAAGGGCAGACAGGAGAGCGGTATCCACATAACCTCTGCGATTGTCAATCCCACCTTCTTATTGGCTAGAACCTGGTCACTAGTTGAACGATGGGGCCCCATCATCAACTCTTAGCAACCTGGTTCGCTGGTTGGGGGAGATAGCCTGTAAATGAGGGTGTGTCCATGCGCCGAATAAAGGTTACGTACTCTTTGCATGCCACACCCTGCTTGGCGGGAAACTGCTGATATGTTGTTAAACTTGGATCATTACCTGACATGGGCCTCTTGTATAAAGAAATTGAAAGTGGATTTCCTGTGGATGCTAGACATTCTTAAAGTGCTCTCACTCAGTGCCTAGGAGGTAGATCAATGGATAATGCTCTGCCTGTATGCAGCCTTGTGTTGTTCTATATTGAAATATGGCTGCCAAATCTGCTTCTCAGGAAATCAGCTCTTCTTTGCTACACTTGCTGAACACTGTTCGTCATTTAGGGATAAGGCTTTGAATGGGTGCATTCCGTATTTTGCCACTTGAGAGCCTCCATGTTGAGTCTGGTGAGCTTTTCCTGGATCTCTTGTGTAAAGTAAAAGGACACAAGTGCAACTAATGTGACATTTATTGTGGCAACGTTTCGCTCTCCAGGAGCTTTATCAAGCCATTACGTAATGGCTTGATAAAGCTCCTGGAGAGCGAAACGTTGCCACAATAAATGTCACATTAGTTGCACTTGTGTCCTTTTACTTTACATATTGTCGGTAATTCTACCAACTTTATTGGATCTCTTGTCATGAGGATGAACCTTCCCTGGGTCTCTGCCATGAGGATGAGATTTTCCTGGATCTTTACCATGAAGATGAGCTTTTCCTGGATCTCTGTCATGCAGAGCTCAGTCTGCTTTACTTAAATCTATAATTTCTAAAATAATTAAAATATGTGAAAAGTTTATAGGAAGTGTGAATCATATGTTTCCTTCTTGCACTTTCTCTTCATGTACTCTGTTTTTCTCTCAATCTATTATCTCTTGTCTTTTCTTTTAATCGCTGTGTTTGAATATCTGTTTTCTTTTGTCTGTTCTTCTTTTCATCTGAAATAGTGTTTTCCAAAGTAAACACTGAAATACTTATTTACATTAGTTTGTTATTTTTATTACAGGAACGTGTCCGTGTCATGGCAGAGCGAACTGAGGGTCTAATGCAACGAATTGAAGACATGCATAGTAAGTTTGTTGCTGCAATGACTTCTGTAAATAACCTTGACTTCCATGTCAAGCGTTTAGAAGAAACAGTGGAGCAGACAAAAAACAGTTACGCTGTGGTTCATCGCTTTATGCTTAGTCACGTTGGACATAAACGATCAAGTTCACCCTGTTCGGGTACTGGTACTCCACGCTCGGAAGGTGGCGGCGGCACATCCCGCTCTCTCTCACAGACTAGTCTTCATCGGATGTTGGAAGAAACTGCACAGCAAATGTCACGCAGACCTGCCCTTGAGCCAGAAGCCAGCGATAAGGAAATGAGTGACACAACAGATGCAGAACATGATAGTCACAAAGAACTCAAAACTTCTTCAAATATCTTAGGTTTTGGAGAGCCTTTAAAAACATCAAGTCCAACAAGTCCAATGGAAGTATTTAAGTTAGATTCTATAAGTGCTGTAAATACTAGAAGAGCAAAAGCTCAGAATCGTCACTCAAACCAGAAATTGGATTCTGAATCTGGGAGTTCTCTGGGTCGTAGTTCACGAGAACGCAAGCTGTCTGGAGGTAGGAAAAGTAGCATTCGAAAGTCTACAAAACATAGTGGTGATGTGGTGAAGGTTTTCAGTCCCTCGAAGGTATGTTTCATGGATGTAGATATTGAAGATGACTCTGATTCTGGTGAAGGAGATCCAGGGACTAGAAAGTTGAGTGCAGAAGAGGAAATGCATCTCAGATATATTAGAGCCATGACATCTCCTGGTGAGGCTACTGTCCTTCATTCACCACCCAAATATGAAAGAAGTCTATCTACCTCTTCCTGTCGCCCCAGAATTCAAGTAATTCCTCCAACGTCACCTCCACCAATTTTCACATTTACCAGTGAATACACTAGTTTGGCTGATGAGTTAGAAACTGTTTGCATGTCCAGATTATCCCCACCCTCGTCTCCCCACTTGCATTATGCTGGAAGGGTCGTCCCACAGCTGCGACGACGCCATCGTTCAGATTCTACTGGCATTTCTATTACTGTTAGTTCTAATCCTTTGCGTGATGCAGAAGAAGCTGATTATCAACTAATGGAAGGCTTAATTCAGAGAAGAATGCACCGAGACTCGGAAAATTTGGCTGTTTCTCTGGAGGACCTTTGTTCTGTGAGAACAGATCTCTCTGACACAGATGATGGTATGACCACATTTAATGTTCGAAGAGACTCAAGAGCAGCAGAACTTCGAAAGCGTCATAGCACAACCAGTATAGATAATAACCCTTCAGAATTATTATCCGTGCCTGGGTCCAAGCATTTGCCCTCCTTGCAAACCATCAACCAAAGTCTTCATCACTCGTCTTCATTATGTGGCAGAGGTACTCGACTCATATCTTCCCAAACCAGGTAGTCCAAGTGCACGTCGGTCTTCCTTACGGAAGATATACACATTCAGTGGGCTTCTCTGGTGCTCTGCCAGCATCTGGGGGATGGCTGACATCAAGGGCTTCTCCCCGTCCATGTTCGCCACCATATGTACGACCTCAGACTCCAGCCGTTGGTGAAACTTCCAGTGATTCTGCTTCAAATTCAAAAGACCTCCAGCCGTGTATGGCAACACTTCAGGTGCCTGTCGTTAGTGAGTCAGAAGGCAGACCAAAAGACACAATAACAGAAACTGAGTGTTGAAATGTGGAATATGTCTCCAAAAACAAAATGTTAAATAATACAGTTGTGCACAAAGGAATATGAGACACAAATAACTAAAACAAAATGGACAGGAAATATCATTTCAATTCATACATGAATTTGGTAGTAAGTTTGAAATTTATTATGCAGTTATGTGATGATCTAAATTATTTTTGCATTTTAAATCTCTTAATGTAATTATTATAGATATAAACATTAAAAATTGGAAGCAATTAAAAAGTTTATAACAGCATGATAGCATTTTAAAATAGTGAATGAGAGGAAAACACTAGCATACTGGGTATCCTATCATGTAAATGCCAAAAGATTCCTTCAGCATTATATGCTGATGCTATTTTTTCAAAAGCATAAATATAAAATCTGGTCACTAGAATACGAAGCACATTTCTTAAGCTTCATCTAAAAATTCCACCACTATTTTTGTTTTTCATCAAGAACTGAGACATCTAACAGCTAGCAAACTGTCCAGTTAGTGTTTAAATACATTCCTTTATGAATTTAAGCACTCTTCACTTAATTCAGTAAAACAGTTTGTTTTTGGAGAACTTCCATAATAAAATCATTTTTATAATTTGTCAAAATACTGAGGTACTATGTCAGTTTATTGTTAATGAGGATAAATAATTCGGTATCATTGAAATGTCCAATCTGTGTACAGAATACCATAAAATTGAATTGTATAGCTCCTATTTATTTTTTATAAAATTAAAAAATTATTTTAATAGGATTACCAGAAAACTGGAAGTACGAAAGGATACAGTATTGACGAGCATACTGCGCATGATGCTAAGTATCAATAAGCAAGAATATATTTTGCCATTTTTGATACTTGAAGAATGTAATATATCTTTCAGTATCCCTTATTGTACCACCAACTTCCATTACACAAGGTACCACTCCACTTTATTTGTATACAAGAATTTAATGTAACTAATTTTGGAGAGTTAGCAATTCATGAAAATTGTAGTAACATGATTGAAAAACTCTAAGGAAGAGACAGGGCTTGAACCATAGCAAGGCAGTCCTATAACTGTTAAGCCTACATATTCTAGTGGTTAGAGCATTGACCTGCTAGTTTTAGGCTGGCTTACCATGGGTTTGAGTCCTGGTATTTCCAGAGTTGGATATTTATTGTTATAAACACCAGAGTGATTTTATAACTATTTTCTACTTACCTTTATGTACATATTGTTCGTCATAATCTTTTAATTGGATTTTTTTTTTAACTGTTTATTTTATGTCGTTTTTTTCCAGGCATACATTTCATATCTAAACTACATGATTTTTCCAGGCATACAGTTCATATCCAAACTACATGTAGCATAACATCCTCATCACACAAAAGTATACTTGCCTATTGTACAGTGGACCCCCCCCCCCCCCCGCCTTACGATCAGCTTCCAAGTGTATTTATGTAAGTGCTTTTGTACGTGTATTTTTGGGGGTCTGAAACGGACTAATCTAATTCACAATATTCCTTATGGAACAAATTCGTTCGGTAACGGCACCTGAACATACTTCTGGAATGAAATTATATCGTAAGGCGGGGGTCCACTGTATATGTTTTTTTTTATTTTCAACATACTAGCCATTTGCCACCAAGGCAGGGCGACCTGAAAAAGAAGAAAACTAAAGCTAATCTTCTTTTTACATTTAGTAATATATATACAGAAGGGGTTACTAGCCCCTTGCTACCCTGTAGTATATGTACTATGACTTATTTATGTTGTCATTCTTTCTCATCTTCAGAATACTAGGATACTCGTAACTCACCAGTCACACCTCCCTGTGTGCTACTTAATTCATACTTTCACATAGTCATCTCAAGACATCACAGCTAAGCAGAAAGCATGTTAACTGTGTACACTTGCTTTAGGAGAGCAGATAAGTGGTTACTTACACCCTTGGTAAATACAGCTAATGCAGAGAAATCTATACTTGTACGTTTCTCACACAAGCTGATGAAAAGCCCACCAGTGGGCGAGACGTTGTATAAATAAAATCATCACGCATATAGTGTATTTACACTTCTCTCAAATACCAAAACATATCCCTCATGCTGGTTTTCCTTGTTTTTCATAGTTTGACATTTTGGTTTCTCTTTCATATTATTGTACCTAAGCAGAAATTTAGAACACAGTAAGTTGGGAGATCAGCTATCTTTTTTTTCTGTTAAGCTATGTAAGTGTATTTATATTGTATAAATGTATGTATGTATTTATATTTTGTATACGAGTCATCTTGAAGTTAGGAAAATGACTACAGGTATTAATTTTAACTAGATTTTGTTCATTTTAGACTAATTTTACTTAATTTTGACATACATGCTGCCTGCTTTTTACACTGCATCTTTTCTAAGCTGGCTGAAAAAAATTAAAAGCTGTCCCTAGGCAATCACATTTTAATCCCAAGTGAAGTGGTCTGATGACAAAGGCTTTTATTGTGAATCATACTGCTGGGTGACACACTGATGGCCACTGGCTGCTTTGCTGGCAAACTTCATCTCTACTCGCTTGTCCAAAGTTTAAGACTGTGTATATGCATCCATTGTTGTTGGGTTTTGCAGAGCCACTGATGACTTATCTTTCTGTGTCTGGGAAGGAAATCTTGCTCAGATCTGGGCAGACAGCAGTGGGATCAGCATTGTTATTGTGAATGTAACTAACATTACCATTAGGTCAGGAAAAACCCTCTTCCTAAGCACCAGACAGACAGTCACAACCCTACCAGTCAGCCAGACAAATATTAATAGCTTGGTAAAATGCTTTAATGATATGGTTCCCTGACCAACGAAATATCTTGCAGGCAAGAAAGAAGTGCACAGCAAGTCTTGTTCCTGGGTTAAGAGGTATGAGCTCTGAGGAGAGCTAATGGAATTTAATATAACAGCATTGGAAGATAGAAGAACCAGGGGAGATATAGTATACTCGATGAATTGATAGGGTAGACAGGGACATGATGTTTGAGAGGCAAGAAACAGGAACTCGGGGGACACAAGTGAAAGTTGAAGACACAGATGAACCACAGGGATGTCAGGAAGTATATCTAAGTCTCAGGGTTGTCAGAAAGTGGAATGATCTGGGTGAAGAAGTTAGTGAATCTGGCAAGTTCAGATACAGGGCCAGGAGCTGAGACTCACCCATGCAGCCACATGTAGGTGAGTGCACTATCAAGATTGGCACTGAAAATTCTCTTTTTCATCTATTGTCAGTCATCCATCATGCATTCACAGGTAAAATCATTCAGAATTCTTCAATCAGTTATAATCCAACTTTGGATGTTTCATTTAGCCTTCCAAATGAATCAAGCATAAATGACCACTACTTTCCTGTTATCTATCATTTATATTGAATAAGCATATTTTTTGCGTAACTTGATTTAACCAAACAACTTGAATTAAAACAAACCTAGTTAATCCAGTAAACAATGTTTACAGCCAACTTGGTTATTAACCAGCCTTCAACATATATAAAATAGCACTTAGATTTTAGAGATTATAAGATTTATTATCAATACAAAAAAAATTATTGCTGTATTACAAAAAAAAAATGTTGCAGTATTTATTGATTTTCTTGGAACATGATAATTTTGTACAGATAATAGTTGACCTGAGCAAACTCCTCAGGCCAAGTGGGGGAGACAGTACCAGCCAAGGTTTCCTTCTTTTCTCAAGGTCACTCGATAGCAGCTCGCAGGTAAATCTCTAGTAAAAATTTCTATACTTAAAATTCAATTATAAATTTAAACTGAAAAAAATT